CACTCGGCGGGGGTGGAACAGGTCTTGAGCTCGACGGTGGCAAGGGAGGAGGCGCGTTCCCGGCCGGGACCTTCGGCGGCAGCGGAGGCGGTGCCGGAGCATGGGTCGGCGGGGCGGCGTGGCTATCATTGTTTCTCGGGGGAGGAGGCGGCGGAACTGGGCCACGACTCGGCGTAGGCGGCGGGATACGCTGACCACCAAACGCAGGAGGAACGTGAAACCTGTGGCTTGGGTTCTCAGGCTCGAGCGGCGTCTTGGCTGGTCTTGGTGGAGGTGGCGGACCGGGCACAGCTGCCGGCGCTGGCCTAGACTTCTCCTGATGAGCAAACTTGCCGGCATCAGGAAGAGGGGGAGGAGCATTGAATCTGGGCCGGGGCGGAGGCGACGGCTCCCTAGGTGGCGGGCTCGGCTCGTTCGATGGTGGCTCGATCTTGCCCGATCGTCGAGGCGCCGGAGGTGGTGGCGGGGCTCCTCTCCTCACCGATGAAGACGGCGACGGTGTGCTCGAGGCGGCGGCGGGAGGAGGAGGGGGTGGTGCCCGTCCGGCTCGCGAATCGTGACCATTGGTAGGGGGTGCAGGAGGGGGTGCCGGCGGTCCAGGAGGTGGTGCTGTTTGAGAACCCGTCTTTGCTTGCTCTTCCCTCAGGAAGTCCACAATGAACTCCTGATTGTCACGAATAAAATCGTCAGTCAATCCTTTGTCTTGCAGGTCTTGTCCGAAATGCTCGCGCCAGAGCGGGTCGAAGGCATCCAGCAACGCAAACTCGGAGGGCGGCGGGCCACCATTCAGACTCAGAGAAGATATCGTCGGGTGCATTGGCGGTGGAGGAAGGTTCGCTTGGGTAGCTTGTGGCGGCGAGGGGGCAGACGAATGTCGATGGAACAGCCCACCCAACAGGCTGTGCTTGTGAGTCGGCTGCGAGCCGCCTCCGAAGGGTTGAGATCTCGTCGCGCGACTTGCATTCTTCTCGCGTTCGTCCATCTTCTTCTTGAATTGCTTTGCCTCCTTCTCGTCCACGAAGCTCAGTCCTGCGAGGCACTCCTCCAATTCAAAGGTGTGGAAGAAGGTCCGGTCCTGATTGTAGAGCCATGTATCGAATATTTCCTGGTCCCAGATGACTCCGCGCCCGGAGGGCTGGATTACGGTTGTCAGTTCGAACTCAAGTACCACGAAGACCGACAGACTCACCGATATGTCCACCATCTTCAACCAGTAGGTGTGTCCAACCAAGTCGTTAGCCAACACCACGGCTCCTTGGAGACCAGTGTACGTCCATTTCGAGCGATTCGGATACGCCACGTATAACCGGGCCACTGCCACAGCCTGAATTTTGTTTGACTGTTTGGGAACGAACCGCTTTACGGTGTCCTTGTCTTCGTCGTTCAAGATCGAGGGCATGGTTGCGACGCCGGACCTGGCGGGTTTTCAGGAGAGGTGGCTATGGTGTTGATGCTCGACGATTGCGGTCTGTAAACGAGTGCAGATGGCAGCTTTATGTGCTTCATGCGTTCGCCCTGAGGCTTGTAGGTGGGCGCTCGTGTCCCGATGCCCGTGGGCAGGCGACAGATGGTATGTCGCTCGAGTCGCTTGGCGCCTGGGAGGCAGCCGCGTATAGCAAGCGCCACTGCAAAGGGGGCGCCTGGGCCGTCGAACGGTGCTGGCGCTGCGAGGGACTGCAAACGTCGCAGATGGAGCAGAGGGGCGCTGCTGCAGGGCTGCTCGATTGACCCGTTCGGCTTTGGGTGGCCGCGTGCTGTTGCGGAGATGAAGTGGTAAGGTGAGGCCGGGCGACTCCAACCGTGGTGGTGTGCCCGCTGAGTCGCTGACAGCGGCTCGCTTTCCCAGTCGAGCCCACCCGAGCTCCCGCACTCCGGCTCCAGCCACGACGGGGTGAATCAGCACAGCCACGCGTCTCGGCGGCTGTCGTCATCACGCAGGGCAGCGCTGAGGGCCTTTAAGCGTCAAGACAGCGATCAGGCACGGAACGGAAGCAAGCGACGCGTCTTTTGGGTTCGTTTCAGGGCCACCGACGCACTCAATCAACGCGACTGCTGTCGCTTGGGCTGCACCAAACCCATGGCCCACTACGAAGTTCGACGAAGTCAAGCGACATCGAGTTCGCCTTTGACAATATCGTGACGCTCACTTAAAGTGGTGATTAATTTCGTATATTGTCTCGTATCAGGGTCACGTCACTTTATCTCCTCGCAACTGACGCTTCCAGCCGGCACTGCAAGTAGTCGTACATCACGGCCATCCAGCCAGGCGAGCCAAGGCTCACTTGTTCAGAGCGGCCTTTCTCGCCTCGCGATCCTCCCTGGTACCTTCCTGCTGGGGCAGCTCTTGGGTTCGTGCCGGGCCGGGATGCGCGTTGAACGGAGCGAATTTGGGGTCCACGCCGCTCTCCTTGATGGGCTGGACCTTGAACTCCTTCTCGCCCTACGGAAATGTGAGTATTCAATCGCGAGCCAAGGAGGCCAGGTGGGTATCAAGGGCGTACCTCGTTCTTCTTCTGCTGGTCCTTGTCCATGTTGAAGTTACAGGTTTGTGCACTGCTGTCTAGTATATTAAATGAAGCGATGTAGCAAAGTTGTAGGCTCAGATGATGCTGTCGGTTGGACTCGGAGGAGGGGTTCAAGCATATTTGTAGACGAGCACCCTCTGGATGGGGGATGACGTCTTGCTGAGATGAGCGTCCGGCTGGAGAGTGTGTCACCTTGGGTCACTAGGCATTGGCTGGCGTCCATCGCAAGTCGCAAGCTTTCGTGGACCACTACGTAAGTGCCCCCAAAGCAGCTGCCCGAATGTTGGCAGCAGCCAATGAGTGGGTGCAGCGGCCTGTCGGCCTCCTGAAGCTGCGGAAGAAGTGCCCGGCCAGTGGCATTTGGACGCCGCGGGCTGAGGCGCTGTATCCTGCCGTATTGCCTTTTGTACGTGCCTCGGCGGGTAATTCTTCCTTCCATGGGTTTCCGCTACGGTTTTTCCAGTGCCCTTGCTGTTTGCGAGCATCCCATGGAGAGTCCGTATCAAATCGCACCCCATGCTAAGGCGCTTGAACTTGACAGCGTCCCAGTGCTCAAGGGCACTTCTCAGTTGGTGCTCCAGCAGACAGGACGGGATGCGCCGGGTTAAGGCTCGGTACCTAGTCTGGTCAGCGGGCAACCAGCGGGGCCTGGGGGGGTTTCCAGCGGCCTGGAAGCTTGGACGTGGCGCTGGCAACCTCCATCGCGCTAGGTACTGGAGCGACCGCCTCCCTGTTGTCAGCCACACTCCGAGACTGAACTTCACGGCGACTCACATCCATGAACAGTCAACACACCCAACGCCCTCAATTGTACCGTGCCCTGCATGTCGGCCAGCAATGCGCCTCAGCCAGTGAAGCTCTCGCTGCCCTTGGTAACACATCTCATTGTTCGCAGAGCGAGCCGCACGGCTGACCAAGCACTCGCCAGGAATACCAACAGAGCCTGTTCCAAGAGCTCCGTGCTGAGGATGAGCTGGTTGTCCTCGCCCGGGGGCTGGGCCTCATGCGCCTGGTGACAAACCTTCTACACTCCTACGACGCCGCCGGCAATAATCTCATTGTCGTAGTGGGTGCCGATGAGCGTGAAAATGGATGGATCGGCGAGGCTCTGGCGGAACACGCTGCCATCAGCGCGTCTCCTCGTGCACGGGGATTGACCGTCGTCAACACCGACTTCCAGAGTGTCGGAGCACGCGAGAAGATGTATTCTGGCGGGGGCATATTTAGCATCACCTCGCGCATCCTCGTCGTTGACCTTCTCACCGGCCTGCTCAACCCAGAGACCATTACAGGCCTCATCGTTCTGCACGCAGACCGCGTCATCGCAACATCTTTAGAGGCCTTCATTCTCCGCGTTTACCGACAGAAGAACAAGGTTGGCTTCCTCAAGGCATTTGCGGACAATCCAGACCCATTCACCATTGGCTTCTCGCCACTCACCACCATGATGAGGAACTTATTCCTCAAGAAGGCTTCGCTCTGGCCCCGGTTCCATGTCACCGTCGCGCAGTCGTTGGAGGGCAAGAAGAAGGCGGAGGTCATCGAGCTTGAAGTGCCCATGACAGATTCCATGAAGGACATCCAAAACGCAATCATGGAGTGTGTCGAGGTCAGCATTCATGAGTTGAAAAAGGGTAACAGCGGCCTGGAAATGGACGACTGGAACTTGGACAGCGCTCTGCTCAAGAATTTCGACACCATGGTCCGTCGTCAACTGGACCCGAACTGGCATCGGGTCAGCTGGAAGACGCGCCAAATTGTCAACGACTTGACGGTCCTCCGCGGCCTCCTGAATAACATACTGACATATGACGCCGTATCATTTCTCCAACATCTTGACACCATCCACGCTGCTCATTCTCCGCCACCCGGGTCTACACGCCAAACCCAGTCGCCCTGGCTGTTCCTCGATGCGGCTCAGACGATATTCGACACGGCACGAAGGCGGGTGTATTCTGCCAATCCCAAGGCTGTATCTCAAGGTCAAAACATCGACTCCCTTCGCCCGGTACTCGAGGAATTGCCGAAATGGGGCATGTTGGCTGAAGTACTGGAAGAGATTGATCGGGATCTCTACTTCGAGCCACCCGCCAGGGATGATTCGAATGGGACCATACTCATCATGTGCTCCAACACAGATACCTGCAGGCAGCTGCGCGACTACCTGCAAACGATGCACGTCAAGCCCAAGGTGGAGAAGTCAGAAGAGGACGACGCCGATGGTGAAGACGCTCACAAGGCATCCGCGGCCTTCATGATGAGGAGGCGCCTGCGAAACTACTTGCTCTGGAAGAAGCAATTTGCGCAGGTCAGCGCAACTCTTTTCGCTGAGAATCAAAAGGCGCTGAACAGCGCGTCGGACTCACGGCCAGGGCGCGGCGGTATGCGTGGCGGAAAGCCACCCGCAAACAAGAGGCGGAGGGTACGGGGCGGCGGCAACATGGGCATATCCGCTGGCCGAGCGGACAACGGCGTCATCGCTCAATACTTCGAAAAGCCTGGAGAAGTCGCCGACCTCATGGCCGAGGTCCAGATAACAGAGGAAGAGGCCCAACAGAAAGAGGACATTATTGCAGATCCTCTCGACGACATGGACGACTACTTTCAGCTCTACGACATGCAGGACCTCGTGGTTGTGCATGCCTACGATGGCGACCAGGATGAGCACGTCCTGGAAGAGGTCAAACCGCGGTATATCGTCATGTACGAGCCAGACGCCTCGTTTATACGTCGCGTGGAAGTCTACAGATCGTCGCACAACGACAGAAACGTGCGGGTGTACTTTATGTACTACGGCGGCTCCGTCGAGGAGCAGCGGTACCTCGCCTCAGTGCGACGAGAGAAGGATGCATTCACCAAGCTCATCAAGGAACGCGCCAGTATGTCCTTGGTCATGACGGTAGACCCGCACGGCATCGAGGACCCTCAAGAAGCCTTCTTGCGCACCGTCAACACGAGAATAGCAGGTGGCGGTAGACTGGCTGCGACAGCGCAACCACCACGTGTGGTGGTTGACGTACGAGAGTTCCGGTCTTCATTGCCATCGCTTCTGCACGGACGGTCCATCATCATCGTACCATGCATGCTCACCGTTGGTGACTACATCCTGTCACCACACATTTGCGTTGAACGCAAGTCCATCAGCGATCTCATATCGTCGTTCAAGGACGGCCGCTTGTATAACCAAGCCGAGACCATGTTTATGCACTACAGGAACCCGATGCTGCTCATCGAGTTTGACCAAAACAAGTCATTCACACTGGAACCCTTCGCCGACCTTTCAGGCAGCCTGAGCAGTGTGGCGCCGTCCAACGTCTCGTCTGACCTCCAGTCCAAGCTGGTGCTGTTGACGCTCGCGTTCCCAAAGCTCCGCATCATCTGGTCCTCCTCACCATATCAAACGGCCGAGATATTCGAATCGCTCAAGGCACAGGAGGACGAGCCCGACCCGATCGCGGCGGTGCAGGCCGGTCTCGACAAGGACATGAAAGTGGAAGACCAGGCGTTCAACCAGGAGCCTCAGGAGATGCTCGTGGTCGTTCCGGGAGTGACTCCGAAGAACATCAAGAACATCGTGCTGGAGACGGAGAACATTCGGGAGGTGGCCAACATGACGCAGGGAGAGCTGGAGCCGCTGGTGGGCAAGGCTGCCGGCAAGTCCATACACGGCTTCTTCAATCGCAATGTCATGGAAGAGGAGGAATAGCATGGCACGGCGAGGGTCCAGAGTACTGTGAATATAGGCGCAATATACCCAACATTCGGAAACGTGCAGCATGAAAAAGAAAGGCCGTGTTCTGCCTGGCCATTTATAGAAACCAAAGATTTGGGTATTAATGAACATTGTCGTTCCAATGCGTGGGGGTATTCTGCGTTGACAGGATCGTCACTGTCATCCAAATTCCATCTCTCAGCAGGTCAAGCCGCCCTGCCTGCTCGCCCATCTACTCTTCTCATATCTCCTCGCAGACGGGGACCTTCCCGAATTACACATGACTCCTCCTGGTCCTCCTGCCGCCGCCGCCGCCATGGCGTTTCCGGCCGCCGCAGTAGCCGCACGTCAGGAAGGAGACGATGATGCCGCAGAACGACACGATGCCGCTGATGATGGCCTGGAGGATGCCGCCGATGCCGCTGATGACGGCCATGATGCAGCTGCCAATCGTCTGCAGCGCAGACCGGATCTATGTTCTGTCAGCAACGACATGTCGTGCGGTAGGTAGTTTTGGGTGTTTCATACGCAAGAGAGAACGCCACCCATGTTGGCGATTTAGACTCGTGGTTCGGTGGTGTTGCGAAGCGTCTTGCTGTGTAGCGTGGGTATGATATGATGAGTGGGAACCGTCGCGTTCGCGCAGTGAGATGGCGTTGGATGTATAAGAGAGTCTGAGGTTTGTTCTACAGACTCGGCAGAACAGCAGCCCCGGGTTCATATATGACAGCCGATCAGCGCGCACCGGGAGGTGAACCACATCATCATCGTCACCGGCTCTTGCAAGGTCTCACGTACCACAACCCGAGCCCCTGTGACGTCAATCGCCTCTCACGCGCGGCTCAGCGCAGCCAAGTTGGGGCTGGCTGGGTACCGAACACGTCCCGTCCCCCTCGTGGGCAAACAATGCAGGCCGAACCGTTTCCTCGATCCCGATCTTCGTAATTTTTCCCTTTCCCACTGTTGAGAGCCCCCGGTGCATCTGCTCCGGCCGAGGGGGGCCCTTGTCACCTGCCGCGCTGTTCCTGCCACTGCGAGACACCCCCCACGGGCCTGGGAGTGGCTGGCCGGAGGGCCCAGACGGGGCGATTGTGGCGTCACCATGCTGGGCCATTGACGTGTGCGGCTCGCATGCCTTGATTTTTGGGACCGGTGATCACTCGAATCGGGCGACCTCAGACATGCACGGAACCCGCAAGGAGCATGGCTCCAACGGCTGGCCGTCTGCCACGCCGCGCGACTTGTGATGTATGGATGCCAAGAAGGGTTGTCAATCAATCGGGGAGGGGGTGTTCGACCCGACTTTTGCGTTTTTGCGGTTCGCGACCCGAGGCCAGACCCCGTCGCAAGAGTTCGTGTTGTGACAATGGCCTCGAAAAGCAAGCGTTCTCGTTGTTCGGCTGTGACGTCAGGCTGCAGACGCCCAGGGTCCCCAGGCACGGCACTTGAAGCACATGCGTGCACGCCGCAATATCGATTCAAAGCAGAATTAGTACAGGACTGAGGCGAGATTGACTAGGGGCCAAAACAACAAGATAGTACACGCTCAGACCCAAAATGCCACCGGCAGAATGTTCGGCGACGCCAACTCTACTTTATACAGGCCGTGCGGGCATATTGCCCCGGACCTCTCACCCCCAAAATGGCAGCCACCGCTTCTTCGTTGCCATGGCTCGCTGCAAGTGAGCGCGTCGAAGCATCTCCTTGTTCCGCGAGTCCAACAGGCCCAGGGCGCCGTCTTCGCGGTAGGACAGCCCGCGCGGCATCGACGGCCGCTCGCCGCTCATCATCTTGATGCGCTGGACCTTGCGCAGCTTGACCAGGCCATACCAGCAGACGATGAGGGAGAAGATGGACGAAACTCCCGTCACCGCGCCAAAGCCCCAGTTTGTTTCCTCGATGAAGTTCTCGAGGTTCATGCCGTACAGGCCGGCGAGGAATGTGCCCATGGCCAGCCCAAGTGTCCCTACGCTGAACTTAAGGTCCAGCAGCATGAGCGCGTTTCGGTTGGCATCGAGAATGGCCCGCACGCTACGTCTGGGTCAGCTTCATCCAAGAAATGCAGCCTTGCAACGCCAGTTCGGGAACTTACATTTCCTCTGTGTTTCGGATACCAGACACCAGGTTTCCGGCCTCTTGGACGATTTCATCCGTGAGCTTGTTGTATGACTCGAGCAACATCTCTATTTCTGTGTGGTCGTCCAAGCCTCTGTAAAGATCATGTTGCTTCTCGGACAGGTACATTGCGGCCAGGTCATCATCCGCCTCGAGGAGCTCCTCGAGAGCATCTCGCACGAGCTTTGCCTTTTGCTCAAAGGTGCTCACGCGTTTCGACAAGATGAGAAGGATGCGCAGCTTCTCTCGGTCTATGTCGTCTTCCAGTTCGCTGAGAATGTGCATGACCGGCTCCCGTACAGCTTCGAAGTCGGCTTCCATCTCAGATGTCACCGACGTCAGGACGGCTTCGAGGGCCCTGAACTCGTAGGGAAGACCGTTGGATCCCTGAGAGGGCTTTTGCTGCAACTTGCCCTGCAGATCGTACATGAAGGCGGACTGTGGGTATGAGGTTTTCGATCCGTAGACGTCGAAAAGCAGTACTCGGTCATGCTTGATCAGGACCTTGAGATGCAGCAAGTTCAACAGGATCGCCGACGGTCGGATGAGGATGTGCGGCAGGTTCGACGAATCAATTTTGCGCAAGTCTCGAGGCAGCAGCCCATACTGTTTCGACATGTTAGAAGGTCTAGTTGACGTATTGCTCCGTGTCGCGTCGCCTCACCTTGGCAATGAGTTCCGTCTTCTTGAACTCGCCATCAACCAGAATCACCTTGCCATTCTCGTCCACCTCGGTGCATCGCAGCCTTGGCTCTAGGGCCGCCTTGGCTGCCATCATCCTCCGGTTGGTAAACATGGACCCATGCTCGAAATCATCGTGTGACGGAAGGTCGTCCGGCTTGAGGGGTTTAGCGCCCTTCCTCGCTGAGCTGCCCCAAAGCCTTTCCTGCCATGTTGGTTCGCGCGCGACCTTTGGGTCTTGAGGGTCGGCCGACTTCTGTGATATGGCCGTGGTGCAAAATCCGAGCTTCGAGGTCGTGGAGCCGCTCGCGGGCGTCGTCGCCCGGCTTGTAGGAAATTCGTTTAGAGGTGAGAATCGCATTGCTGTCAGAGGCCGCCCGCAGTTGAACGCCCGGGACCTCGACTTGTGCCTACTCCCACCGCTGCTCGACCGCACCTGTCGACAGACAGGCGCGCAATTCGCTACCGTGCCATAGGCTTGTCGCGGCCTCTGGAAGGCATGTTCGGCCTGTGATCGTAGGAATCGGAGCAAGCTGCGGGACGGGGCCGGAGGTCGCACTGCTGGCTGCATCCCGATAATCGCGCAGCAGTCAGGAGCTCGCGCCCGGGCTTCAACGCCAAAGAAACGCGGAAGCAACCGACCGTGGGTGTTCGAACGGCTGCTGGGGCTCGCCAGGAGCTTGCGCGGGACCGAGCGTGGGACGTCGGTCTGATGGAGATCGCAACGGGACAAAAAGTTCAGAGGCGCCGAAATTTGGGTCGACATCATCGGGGCGCACGGGCCATCTTCGGCGATCGGATTCCCTGGCGCGCCGCCCACTTTCAGGAACGAGACATGACGGACCGCGACTTGTAAGGGCGCATACGCATTGAGCAGTGCTATTTGTAGAGCCAACTTTTGCTAGTTGTAGAGCCCATAAGAGCAAGAGCAACGAAGGCAACGAAAGCAACGGCAGCCACAGGCAGTCCCATGCCCGCGCCAGTGCGCAGTAAAAATCACTGGGGCAGCATGGCGCGGCCGAGAAGTAAATTGTTAAGGGGGCTCTACAACTAGCAAAAGCTGGCTCTACGAATAGCACTCCTTTACGTATTATATACTAAAATCGAATATGATCGTATAATGCACAGAAATAATGTTTGAATTTCATGCGTCTCATGCGCGTCTAGTAGAGGTAATACCATTGCAAGTCTGTCGTGGTTTCCAGTTTGACAACCAGCAGGACATTATGGGGCCAACTCAAATCGACGTCACTGGCGCTCGGCCCCTGGGCGACGATCGGAACAAAACTTCGTGCGGGCATCATTCCAGATGCAACAAACAATCCCATTGTCAACCTCACGCCCACCCCTCGCTTTGTCCTCGCCCGCCACCAACCCTCGAAATGCATTAGCTATTGCATCGCGTGTGGCGGTACTGACGATGCTGTCCTTTTGAAGTGCGACTAAGCCGTTGCGCCAGCTCTTCGCACGGCGACAGAATCGGCACAAGCAAGGACAAAGAGCAGCCGCTTGCCATGCCTCTGACGCCCATCCACGTCAGAGGCAAGCGAAAGGCACCCTCCAGCAAGACGCCGAAGGGTTTGGACAGCCCACCGCAGAAGATGAGAAAGTCGCTCGGCACCGTTCTCGCTGGCCGCGCAACCCGCACCCGCGCAACGCTCGAGTCCCTCCCGTATGAGATTCTGGAGAGCATCCTGCTCTACAGCACCAATCTGTCGCTGCCTCGTGCGAGCCTGATCGTCGGCCTCAAGCTTTCGAACCGTGCGACTCTGCTGCGGCTTTTCATATGGGCCTTCCACGAGACCTGGGAGCAGTCGTTTGGCATTCCCGCCCGGCAGCGTCTCCTCCACGTCGGACAGGTAAAAGGGGAGAATCGTCCCCCTTTTCAGGGTGATTATATGCTTCAGGTATTCATACTGCATCTATTTCTGTCAACTCTAGTCAAAAGCTAAGTGGTTCGCCGCAGAGCGCCCTACTGGAGCTGCCCTGGGCCAAGATCGACTTCATCCTGCAAGCGCAGCAGGCCTGGGCCGATCGCTATGCGCGTGACCGGTGGTATCAGCACAGCCTTCCCTGGCGAGAGGAATTCAGCTCTGGGGAACACGACCACGAAGGAGGCCTCTCCCACTTCAACGCCCGCGAGTGCTTCAAGGTCGACTACCAGGAAGCGCGCCGATGGCCGGCCTTCTTCGCCACATCGCTGCAGTGGCGCGGCCAGGACGTCCACCCCTGGACACGCATGCCTGTGGAACTCATTTCAGGCCCGTGGGATGACGAACAGTTGCGACGCCTCTTCTGGCTCAGCCGCGGCGGGCTCAAGATCGGTAACGAAGGCCAACGCGTGCCTCCCTGGGAGGTCAAGCTCCAGTGCCTCGACAACGCCGTCTTGTCCGCGCCAGTTCCGAACAGCCTGGTCATCAACTGCCTGATGCAGGACTGGATATTTACGGACCTACCAGAGGATGAGGTCAGAAAGCAACGCGTTAGCCTCGACAGACGGATCGAATGGGGAGGAGACTCGCCGGAAGACAAGCAAACTTTGCGGCAGATGAGGACCGCGCTGGTCTTCTTATCAGAGCACGAATACACCATGCCTCGTTGATTCCCTCAGGGGTGGAACGTGTTCCTTCCGAGATGATGGATGAACGCAGCAGGGTGCCGCGGTCGAGTCGTCTCGAACGCCGCGAAAGGTCGCCATAGCGTTCACCCGAAAGAGATCGCTCTCGGACAGTGGTTTGGTTAGGGTCATTACCGGCTCCAAAGGAAAAGGTCAAGATAGATGCGACAACCGCCAGCGGTTCCAGATACAGAGGCAGGCCTTGGTATATTGTGCGACTCCAACGAGCTGCTGGGCTCAGTGCAGCCGACAAAGTATCAGCCGGGAGGACAAGGCGTCGCGGACTTTGTTCCATCAGAACATGAAGCTGGGTCCAACAAATCGACAGATGTTCCCAAGGTCACTGGAGGGCGCTTGCGCCCGTTGCAACCACAGCCTGGCATCCGGATGCTCTCAAGCATGCCTCTCAACAGTTATCTCGGCCCGCCAAGAAGCGTGCAGAGGCCCCACGCAAAAGCTGGCGACAAGTCACAATTCCTTGCAGCGCACACAGGCACGTTGCGCATCCTCGAGTGTCGCACAGCGGCTCCCTTCTCCCGGTCCCCCGCGCGAACCGTGATGCCGGCGTGACTAAGATGCGAACAAAGCGAGGGGCTTACCACCACCACCGAAAGCCATCCCCGCTCGAACATCACGGCGAGCCTGGAACAGGAAGCTGGCGCCCGCCGGACACAGCACAGATGGGACATGGCCGGGCCTTGGATGGTTGCTGGAACCCTGCGAGGCGAGGCGGCTGGCGAGCCGGAAGGGACGGGCATGAGGGCGAAGCCAGGCATGGCAGCGAGGCCAAGAGACTTCCGCAGTTCGTACAGTCAATTAAACACGAGGGGGGCCTGCTTCCGGGCTTGCCGCATGTCATGCTGACCCGCCATGATGTCCTGCGTGAATGCAAAGGGCGGCTCACTTGGACTCATCATGAGTCTCGAGGCATCGGCCCAAGGCCCCGGCCGCAAGCACGACGCGCGTTATACATCACGGCCAGCCTGTTTTGAGTCTCGTGCTTCCTTGTCGGCCTCGCGGGAAACGGTCGCTTCCGCACAGCATGGAAGCCAGCACTGGTGCTGACCAGGCCCCGGCGGCTCGATGCTCGGCATGGATGTGTCCCCATCGTGAACGTGCCCAGCCGCCACCCCGTGGGATGCTCACGCCGCTGTCGCGGCCCCCCACCCCGGGGCGCCCTTTGGCGATGGCCCGGTCGTCAATCCCCTCCCGCGCCAGGCCAACATCTCGAGCAACAGCCAAACCAGGGAAACAAGCCAGGGAAGCACATCTCTCCGCACCCAGCGCTGCCCGTCAGCTGCGGGTCTCGGGCAGAGCTTCGTAGCACAGTGTTGGACGGGCGTTTGTCGTCGCGGCCACGCACCGCCGCCGTGTCGCCACCTATTGCCCAATGCGGCAAGCTCGCGGCCTCAGACCACCATCCCAAAAGTTGGGTCCCGTCCGGCCCTCATCAGGCAGAATGACTCACACGGTCGGTTCCAGCGCGACTCGACTCCCAACCCCGAGGGAGCCCCGTTTCATGCGCAACCACAAAGCCGCTCAGTGTTCACGAGAGCTCACTCACAGTCGTCCCGGCAATTTCCGGAACATTCAGCGCGCACGCCGGGCAAATCCGCTCGCTGCCTGCAGCTATCATGCCAGCACCAACAGGCCTGGGCCTCGCGCCCGTGCTGCCGGCCACACATTGCTCGCAGCCTTGCAGGTACTCGCCTGCGGCCCGTTGTAATGCACTGTCTGCATGAACGTATGAACCTTTGATGTCAGGTCGCAGAGCCAGGCAAGATCAGAATAGCATGCATGTCACGCAACATCCGTCGCAAGTGCGTAAAAGTACTGTACTGCAAAAGACAGTACAGTGCCGCGTCAGCAACTGTTCTCAGCATGTAACTCTTCAATTCTTTTGTGGCCCCGCGGCCTTCGAAGCCAGGCATCCACCGTCGCGTTGTGCTGAGAGCACGACGAGGCCGGTGAGCTTGCTCCGTCATTAGTGCCAACCATCTGAGGACTCTTCCAAGCTAGCTATTAGATTTCGCCATAGCGTCATCGCTCTCCACGGTCCAGACCAGCTCTTTGTGGATTCAGTCTCCTCTGAATAGCGCAAAGAGTTTAGCACGAGAGTTCGCGGAGGTCGAGCAGGTGGCGTTGCGGCCGTCCAGAGCGAGCAAGAGAGTCGTCAAGTTCATGTTGATTATTGCCTTCCTGGTTGTTCTTGTCCGTGACGCTAAGCTGGAGGCCATTCGACCGAGTTGCCGAAATCGCACGCTGTGGATTGGCCTGCAGCCGTGCTTCCATCGTGGTCGGAGTGCCTTGCCCACTTCCACCATCGTAACAATCCAAGAAACATGAGTCTTCTAGTCGTACAGTCCCGTTCCTCCGCTCTTCGTAGGTAGTCACCGTCCAGCCAACTGCTCAACCCCGGACGACCACCTTCAACGGTTCATCCATATTCCCGAGCCTGGATGATGCATGCTAGATTAACGCGCTTTTCAACCCATAGCCCTTGGACGCCATCTGCACGTTCTATGAACCCTGAGATGGAACGAACCCCGTCCAAGGGTGTGGTGGTATCAAGAAAGCACCCATGGCAAAGACTCCTCTCCTTTCCCAACGCTTCCGTACCAGATGCGATGTAGCGATATAGAAGCGCAAAAAAAATAAAAGACAGATGGCGTTATCAAACGAGTCTGGATGTTACTGTCGCAGACAACATATGTGACTGGTGTTGGCGTCCAGTGTAATGGTGGCGCATGTGCTCGCGAGAAGGGTTGCGAACATGCTAGTTGAGAATGCCATCCCACATCCCGGGGCCACGGAGGCTGATGGCCGGGTGGATCTTGGCAGATGTGTAGCCGCTGGCAGCCTCTGCGGAGCAGCACACTCTCTTTCCCGGTGCTCCGACAATGGGGCGGCCGGGGAATTGGAGGTATGAGTCCGAGGCAACGCCGCCTCGAGGGCGGACGAGGCTGTCGGGCCAACCTGCCTGAGACGCCTCATAGCCTCCGGAGAGAATTTCGCGCACATTGTCCTGCAGGTTGTTGTCCATCGACGACGTCCTGCTACGCTTGCAGCCAGTTCTGGCGATGGGCGTGGCATTAGCCGAGGCTTGTCTGTGCAGGTCCTGCAGAGCTCGAGCAGCGTCCGAGGCTGGGTCTCGTGCCATCTCGTCGAGGTCCATCTCACGCCTCGCCAATGGGGTTTCCAAGGTGAGGTCACCGAGCTTATTAACCGGGCCGGTGTAAGACTCAGGTGACGACGATGGGCAAGGCTCGTCGTAATCTTCAGGAACCGAAGGCACCGTCGGTCTAGCGCACACCTTGTCATTCCATAGCTTCGTCGCCCGGAATCGCGACGGCACACTACCCCTGCCGGAGCTGGTGTAGTTGGTCGCGCTAACGAGAGACGATGCAGAGGAAATGGACGAGGACCGCGAAGAACGCGACGTGTCAGAAACCATGGATTCCGGAGAAGATGCCGTCGAGACCGAGTTGGCGAGAGAGGAGCGACGGACGGGGCAGTAACCCTGAGGCGACGAAGTGCTCGAGCAAGGGAATCGTTCCAGGGCCTGGGCCGTGTTGATGCAGTTTGCTTGCGCCATAGCCAAGCCCATTGCGCCGCACTTCCCCATGATCTGCGAAGCAGCACTCACAGCAGGAGTGCAAAATCCGCTCGTCTGGGGAGTAAGACGCGGGGTGGGGAGGAGGCCCAGAGACGGAGCCAGACGGCCCGGTGTGAAGACAGACGTCGGCGCAGGCTCCATGAAAGCCGGCGTGCCGCAAGACTTGGGTGTCTGCAAGGCACTGGGGGTGTCGAATCCAGTACGAGCATCCTGAGTGCCGTTGAGAATGCTGCGCGGGGACATGACGGAGAGGTCGCTGGTCTTGGAGCTGACCTGAGGGATCAGGCCCTCAATGTTGGTCAGCTCCGGGTCCAGCTTCAGAATGATCTGCTTCCAGTCCGCGGTCTGCTGCGCGATGACCTGCGAGATACCACCGGGCGAAGGAGGCGACGGCGGTGGCGTGTACTTGAGCACCATCTCCGTCCAGCGCTGAAAGACATCATCTGCGATGTGCAGTTTCCAGTTGACAGCGAGGAGGAAAGCAATCTCGTTCTGGTTGATCTCCTGGGTATTGAGGCCAGAGATCTTGCTCCAGGCGCGGGCAGAGTAATTGCGGTCCTGGAGATACTTGGACGCCAGAATGAGAGCCGCGAGGAACATGCGCCGGCCACACTGCAGAGCGCGGTCGGAGTACCGGTCCTCTGGCTGCTCTGTGGTGAAGTTGTGCTTCGGCACATGCGGCTTGATGAGAATGAGGTAGTACAGAGCCACCTGGAGTGTGGAGTAGCTGGTGCGCGAACGCCGAAGCGTCTCCTGAATGAAGGTGCGCAGGGGCAGGACAGCTTTACTGCTCTGCTCACTGCGGCAGATCACCGAGGAAAGCGGCCAGATAGCCTCCACGATCTGGGTGGACGAGTCTGTACAGGGTTGTATTAAGCATTGGATCAGAGTGTCCAGAGGCAAATACTGCGACCTACCAACAAGGTTGTCGACGAAGTTGATCTTGCGATCGGACTGCCGAACAAGTGCGGGGGGGGCGGCCGACCGGGCGTGCGACCCAGCCGTGCGCCGGGGGTTCTGGCGCAGCTCCGCCGGAACGGAGGTCTCGGCCTCGCGCTGCAGAAGCGAGCGGCGAAAGCTGGCGGCCTTCTCTGAGGCGGTGACGGTGGCCCGCTTCGAGAGACAGTAGCTGTCGCAAGAATCGGAATCGGACGTGTTTGCGGAGATGGAGGTGTCGTCGGAGGATTGAGATGCGGTATCGGACCACACCGAGGCGGTCGAGGTGGACGCCGAGGCGCTTATAGCGGAGTTGTAGGGTGCATATCGGATGGAGCTAGCGACGGAGGCGGGCGAGCCATACGCGTCGCACTTCATCTTGCTAGAGGATGTGTGTGTTGGGGTTCTGGTTTGACAGGTGCGTCAAGCCAGTATCGAGTTTCCAGTCGCCGTCGAGGGCTAAGTCAACCAGTAAGATCGTGTGTTACCGTTGAGCAAATCGAGTGAACCGTGTCGAGTAGCTAACTTCGCGCAAGCAGCATGTGCTTACTGCGTGCGAGAAGCGTGTCCGGGGGCGTGTAAGAGCGGGTGTTTTAGACGAGGGTGTCGACAACCGACTTTACACGAACGATCAGACCGGAGGACAGAGCTGAGACGACGGCGACTGGAGTAGTAATAGTGTAACTTGCACGAGGCATTGCGACAAATGCTTCAAGAGGCAAGTTGAGGTTGGTGTGACGGTAGTCTTAACACACTACCATCGAGAGAGGAGGTTCGGGAGGCGGGGGGGGTTCTTCGGAGGGGCGGTTAGGCGGGTGGCTGATCGACAGTTGACGTCTGGGACGCTGAAGGCTGTCGTGCAGGGTCGGCTCTCGAAGATATGCAGGTACAGAGCGGTGCGGTGGCTAGGGCGAGCGTATATATTCGGAGTCGGCGGTGATGTGACTCCCTAACGTGGCCTGAGAGGCGAGGCGCCGGTATGAGTGCGAGGGTGGTGACAGCCTTGGGAGAGGCGATGAGTGGGGCCTGGGGGCTGATAGGCTGGTGTGACTCTTGCGCGGTGGCGACCCGAGTGTTGCCGCGTGGACCAGTGGCTGCCCAGCTGGCGATTTCGGAGGCAGCGAGGCAGTGACTGGGGGAGCAGCCTAAAATGACAGAGAGCGGCCAAAGACGTGGCAAATGGTGGTGCGCCTGCGTCCGTGTGATTGATGACAATGCGGAAAAAAAGGCAGACGGGGTATTAGAAGAGCAGCAAAAGGGAAATAGGGAGTGCGTGTGGTGGTGGTGAGTAACACTGGTGACTGCAAGTGAGGCAGCTCACGTCGACGTGCAAGTGACTGCGCCGGCGACTGCTTCTGCTGCTTGCTGGTGGCAGTGGTGCTCGTCGTTCGCTTCTCTCAGGTTCGCAAGGTACAAGTGAATGCCGCTGCGAGTGGGAGGAGGCGAGGACTGATCGGTGAGGATCGGGACAGGAAATGAAACCCAAAGAGTAGAATTGCGCCGTGGAGTGGAGAGAAACCAGAGCAGACTTCGAGAGTCGCTGGTGACGATTACAGGGCGGTATCGAACTTCATCGTGGCGACGCTGGAGTTCGATGGGGGAAGGAAAACGGGAAGCCTGTTGCGAGGGCCTGTGGTTTTGAATGGGCGGGCGCCTCCCGCGCGCGCGCATTCTCT